CCAAAAAAGAAAAATTAATATGGTCAACTTTTGCATATCATATTGTCTCAATGAAAGATTGAATCGACATACACATAAATTCAAAAGGGATCTCAGTACTAACAATGTCATCCTTAGAAACTAGCCTTTGTATTGATGAGAAACCTTCCGGACAAGCTTATCCATTAATTGGAAATTTGGAATTTCTTGTCAAATCCCCAACCAGAGTTGCTCTGCATTGTGATGTTAACAAGTGATAGTAAACATTTCGTGCGTATCATTCACAGCACACAATTTTACTATCATAAAAAATATCATCGTTGTAAGGAGTATCTTTAATTTGGTACTAATCCAGCCTCTTTCAAAAACCAGAAGCATGTTTACATGAGAAAGGAAACCGAAATGGCAAACAAATACAGAACATGACAAAGGAGCCTAACAGAAGAATAAGAAACAAGATGCACTTGTATCTGTATGGGACAACATACATATTAACAAACTCCAATTTAATGGAACGTTACAAAGTTCCGTGCACAAAAGAACAAATTATACATTTAGTGTACTTGTAAGTAAGGTAAGTTCGAGATCAAGAGGATGAAAGATGAGAGTGATGCTGACCCGAAGAAGAAGAACTGCAAGATTAGCAAAGTGCATCACAGAAGCAGGCGCACTATTAGGAACAGTTTTCGCAACACTTTCAAGCTCCTCTGCCGCGACCACTGCCAGAGATAGAGAAGGCGGATGATGATTGGAGTAGAAAAGGGGGTTTTGGTCAGCAACCCAACCCAAAGCTCAAAACTTTGAAACGAGAGTTTAGGATTTTGCAGAAAGGAAGGAAATTTCCAGCTGGGTTTTTCGGATGTGTACCCGACAAGAAACGGCGTCGTAACATAGTCACTGTGAAAGAAGGAATCCTATTTATGTTTCCATTTTTAGAAAAAAAAAAAAAGAAAAAGAAAAAGGATAAATCTGTTTAAAAAAAAAAAATTCACCGAAACATTTTGCTCATTAATACTGAATGCACCAGCTCAAATTAACCTTTCATTGTCAATCCTGTCTAACTCTGATTCTGAAGGGTGAGTTTTAGGGAGAGAAAGAGATCTGCTTTCAGCTTCTCTCTTCTCAACTTTCTCTTTGTAGGAGTTCGGGGTTGTCAGTTTGAGCGCCAAGATGGTCAATTCTCTGTGTCCTTTTCCATTTCTTGATAAGCCATGATCAATCGATTGCTTTTCTTTTAGTTTTCTAAATTGGGATGGTTCTAGCTCTGTGAATTTTACCTAGATTCCTGCTATCATTTCGGTGAAGTTTCTTCCTTTAGCGGGTTGTGGTTGTAGATTTGTATGCTTTTATTATCTCCAGCTCGGACTTCCATTTGGGTGCCGGGAAATGTCCATGAACTCTGGTAAATTTTTTTCATAGAGAAATGAGAATTGAAGGAGCCACCTGAAATACAAAGTTGGGTTTTGGAATTTCAAAATTCTGGAAATTTAATTTTGTTTTTGGGTTCTGGTTTATGATATCATATCAATGATTTATTCTTCTTGCTTCTTTAGTTCCTAGCTACCTACTTGCTACGTTCTGTTATTCTCTAGCTGTTGGATTTGTACGAATTTCTCTTATGAGATGTATAACATGGTTTTATTCTTTTAATAGCACAAATTGGGGAGAGGGCACCGGGATAAAATTCAGCAGTTCATAACAGTAACTGGAGCGAGGTAAACTGATAGTCACATGTGATTTCACAGTTATGGATGCTTGCTTAAGCTTTTCTTGTTTTTTGTTCTTTTCCACCATCAGGGTAACAACAACTTATCTTGAGCTTGTTTGCCTGTTTCTAAATTCAGCAATGGTGAATTCAATTCTGGTTTAAATGATGGGCTACCTAAGCAAGCTTAGCTAATTTCATTCATGACATCATAACATCTGAATTATATGATTTGCTGCTGCAGGCCCTATATTGGTTTTTTAATATAAAAAAGTGGAGAGGATAAGAGTAAACAGAGTTATTTTTTTCTTTTTCTTTTTCTTTTTCTTTTTTTTTTTTGGGTGCAAATAGTGTTTGATTTAGAGAATAGATAACATAAATTGTAAAGAAGGGGAGTAATTTATATGAGGATCAGGAGACAAAATGAGTTTCTTGGCAAAGTGTAGCCAAGTTGTCAGTTTTTGAATTACCTTACAAGAGGAATGAAGATGAAAAGGTGTTTGCCTAAATGGCGCTTTGCTGTGGCCATTTGCTGTTGTTTATTAGTTCCATTATGGGGTGGCATTTCCAAACCATATTGAGAATGTTTTGAAATTTGAAATGAAAATCCTATAAATGTTGAAAACACATGTATGCTTGCTTTCCTTGGGCTAGTTAATTGTTATTTTGATTCCTAAACCTATTTCTAGTGCAGTTTCAGTGGTGATCGTGTTTCCTTTTCCTTCACGCATTTGCATACGTTTTCTTCATTTTTTGTTTCATATTCTTAAATATATTTGATTTTGGGGTTTGAGAGTCAGTGTTGTCTGTTTTGCATTATCTGGTTCATGCCCTCGTTTTAGTTTGCTGCTAAGATTTTTCTTTCTTTCATTATTTTTATTGCAGTGAAAAAGTTGCTCTTCAAGCTTTGAAGGCCACTGAGTGGCATCGTGATGGAGCTCTTGATGTCTGCTACAGCCAGCCCCAGATTAGAACTTTTACTGATATCAGACACCTGGAGGAGGTTGAGAGTGTTTGGACTTAGATGGGCCACTTGCAGAGGATGATGACAAACCTTTTCCATCTTGTTATTTGAATGCATTCTTCTGATGTTGTCATAATTAATCTAGAAGTTCAAATTCAACACCTTAGTGCTCTCAAGAAGTTGACCATAGAGCACTTTAAACAAGTGGTAGCTTTGCCAGAGTGGGTGGGAAACTTTTGCTCTTGTCAATGTCTGCGGATCTACTTTTGCAATAATATGAAACATCTGCCTTCCGTGGCAGCCATTTGACCCCTCTCCAAACTGCAGGTGCTTGAGATTTATAACTGCCCGAAGTTACAAGAGAGATGCGCCGAGTAATGTGGTTCTGAAAGGTCCAAGATTTTGCACATTCCAGATATCATTTCAAAATAAGCCAAGACTAAGGCCTGGATGGAAGAGGTATGTATGTTCCATTCCTGTACATATTCCCATGAATTACTAGTCA